CTGATTTTTTGTGGGTTCTGTTGCTTTAGAATTTGTTTAAAGCCATTTTTTGTAGGTATTTGGAGGGGTTTGGGGGAGAGCTCTAGCAAGTCACTGCTTTCCCTCCGCCCTCTTGGCTCCACCCCTCCTATTTCTTACAGGACCAAATATAAGTTCCTTTGTTTGGCACTGATCGTGCCCCCTGCATCCCTTTCTACTCTCCTTATACTTTACTCTCTTCTACCCATTCCACTGACTAGCCATACTGTCCCCTACTTGATGCTCCTTGCAGAGTCTACACCATCTCTAATCTCCATGCCTTTGGAAAGGTTATTCTCTATACCTGGAACTATGTCCCTCCTCACCTTACCCCTAGGAAACTCTGGCTTCCTTCAGTCCTCAGTTCAAACTCCATTTTCCACAGGAGGCCTTTCCTCAGCTCTCCTCATATAAGGGCCTTCTCTTCTCAAGTCTCAAGTTACCTTTCAACCACTTTGTATCTATCTTGTACAGAACTTTTTATGTTGTTTCTTCCTGTAGAACATAAGCTCCTTGAGTATAAGGATTGCTTTTTTATTTTTTATTTGTATCCCCAGAACTAATCATAATTTGGCACATAATAGGGGCTTGGTGTTTGTTGACAGAAGTCATTTTGATCTGGATTTTGATCCTGGTTATATCACTAAATGGCATGTGTCCTTTGGCAAGTCACAATGGCCTCAATTTCCTAATTTGTAAAATGATATGATTGGAGCAGATGAGCTCTAAGGTCCATGCCAGGCCTAACATTCAAGAAAGTGATTTCTTTGTACAAAGTGAATGTCTTTTAGAGATTTAAGAAATTGGACACAGATAACCCAATTTTCTAAGTTAAATAGTTATACTTGTTATATTGTTACTTACTGAAAAATAAAATTTATAGAGAGATAAAACATATGTAGCACTAAAAGGTGATTTATAAAGTTTAAATTTTCAGTCCTAAAACTAGTTTTCACTCCCATAAATTTGGGGTTAAATTCTTCTTGCATATCTTAACTAGGTCACAGTGTTTTATGACCTGAGATTCTGAGTATTAAAAAGCAGTTAGTAGTGAATATATATACAATAGCTTGGCTCTTGGGAACTGACTAGTAAGGAAATAACTATTTCATTTACTAATCCCAAAACAACTTTATATCTTTTTTCAAAATGACGTGTTTTCTGCTTTTCATATAAAACAAGATAAACTCTAAGCAAAGAAGAACAAATTAATGGAAATAATTTCTACCTTGTGATAACTTTACCAAAAATGAGAACCATAGATATTTGTGCTTGTTGTCCTCTAACACAGAGGGTCAAGATCCATTCTACCTAGGTGAAATGTGGGTCTCCTTGTATAGATGGCATAAAAGAGGTTTAAATTAATCTAGTAGAGAAGAATAAAGGTTATGTAAAGGAAGAAGCAGTATCTAGTTGACAAACAGGAATGCTCGGAAAAGAACGTTGAAATGTGTGTGACTTTATTGAAGTCATTTAAGGACACTACAATGGTATAAAACAGGTAACTGTTCATCTTCCTCTCTCCTCCTCAATCTCCTTTCCCTGGCTTACCTAGCACACATGAGTCAACCTGCCTGATCATGTCCAACCTCAACTGGAAAGAGGAAATGAACTTCAGAAGAAAAGTGAACTTAGTGATTGGGAAAACATCCGCACGTATCACTAAAGAAACAGTTTTGAAAAAATTTATACCAGTGGTTAATAACTATGCCTAAGGAGAATAGCACCTCATAAATCTAGAGAAACATACTGCATTTCCAAGCCAGGTCCCCTAAAAAACATCTACCAGGAAGGAGGGAAAACAGAACAAAAGCTACTGTAGCAGTTAATTTTACAGTGATACATTTCTACATTCATTAATTCAATAAATATTTACTGAATGCCTAATATATGCAAAACACCAAGCCATCAAGAATAAAAGATTAATAAAATAAGAATTCTGCCCTCTAGTAACTTCCAGTCTAGCCAGAGAAACAAGTATGAATAGGAAGATAACTGGCAATGAAAGGGAATATTAATAAACGGCTATGTGACTGATATAGAAAATAAAAACCGTCAGATTCTATAAATGTTCCCAAAGCTACCATGCCTCACCACTTCATGAATGGATCGATTGAAGCCATCATCTTCTGTCAGAATCAACAAAATAATAAGAGCCATGTACACATGGTGTGAATTCCGTTCTTCAACATGATACAGAATCTCAAGAATTGGTACAACCTGTGGGGGAGAAAAATGATCACATTATTATTTCAATGACATAAGCCTATAAGTATAAGCCTTCTTTCTTTACTTTCTCCTTTAACATCACAAAACTATTTTTCTTGGAGAAAAGCCACAAAAACCAACCAAAATAGTCAAGAACCTGGAACCATTTTCCATCTGTCTATAAATTGGTTATTATTTTCCTTTGTACTCAGATATAATTTACAGACTATCTCCATTCAAACACATCTGTAGAGTTTCCCACATACACCATGTACACAGATTGGATTCTTCGCTTGCAGTCACCATGTACAACTTGGTGCTATTTGCAACTGTGTCCCTTAGGATCACGCCTTTGGTTCAAGCTTCTGCATAAGGAGAGTTATGCTGTTCTCACTGGTGGTAAGCCAAGGCTGGTTTGCCTGCCAACATTGTGTCCCAGAAGTCTATGGCTATGTCAACAAGCAGTACTGCGGTATGCACTTTAAGTGTTTCACTCCCCCCAGCCCCATCCCCTCCTATAGCTGGGGCAGCCAGAGGGCCCAGTGGATCCTGGAGTTAGGATCCTGGATTCTAAAGATGGTCCTGGAGTTAGGAAGACTCAACTCTCTGAGTTGAAATTTGGCCTCAGACACTTACCAGCTGTATAACTCTGGGCAACTCATTTAAGCCTGTTTGCCTCAGTTTCCTCATCTGTAAAATGAGGTAGAGAAGGAAATGGCAAACCACTCCAGTATGTTTGCCAAGAAAACCCCAAATGGGGTCATGAAGAATGGCATACGACTGAACAACAACAATTTCCTGTGGTCATCCCACCTCAGTTCAATTCACAACTGTGTTAGATTCACTCTGCACATTTTATCTATGGGAGAGCTTTGTTAAGAATATCAACCTTGTCTTGATACACTGGTGGCTAAAGTTTAGAATCTCAGTAATGGTATAAAAATGTGGCCCTTCTATACAACTAGTGAAACTGATTAAAACAGTCTATATCAACTATGATAATAGGTATAGATAAGATTACTTAGCTATATTGATGACTGAATGGGCACCATTCTGTAGACATTCTGGTATGTCTAGGCTTTGACAGAAATAACATCAGTCTCAAACTGACTGCCACTTTTCCTAAGGGCGGACTGATCTATTTAATTCTATTTTCTTTCTCAGTCAATTACAGTATTGCTGGATAACCTTAGTCTACCAAAGAGGTATCAAAATCTAAGAAATTGCCTTTTTATGGCAGAATTTTAGATTCTACTGCAAGGCATCCTAGCTTACTCAATCATAACAGTTATCAACCTTTTACCAATCAACCAAAATCAAGTGCTGAGGCATAGAGTTTATGTGTGTTTGGTTTTTGGCTTAGAGAATACAGAAAAAGCACAAATTTCATACAAATTTTTCAATAGTACTAAAAATCTCAGTTTCTATTTTTTGACAACATAACTGAATATGGAAGATGAAAGCCAGGACAGTCTTCTGAAACAATGCCAAGAGCTTAAAAGGATCACATGTTTGACTTTTTAAAAAATTACCAGAAATGTTCTACTGAACTCTCTCAATTCTAAGAGGGCTTGTTTTGGCTGAATGTATAGAAGACCATTTTCACAAGTTTTCAAATAAAATTTATGGTTTTATTAATGCCATGGAAGTGACAGGACCACACCATCCACATTTTAGAAAGCATTTTATAACAAAATATCATCTGACAAATGCAGATATTCAGGAATACAAAAGAACAGAAGACTCTTTGGTGCTGCTATTAGAAATGCAAATTGTTTCCCACATCTGGTCACTGTGGTTTTGAAAATACTTAAAATGTCTTTACCCTGAGGATTGGGGTCCTGGAAAAAGAACATTAGCCCTAACCAATGAAAATGCCACAAAGTATACCTCCATTTTGCACCAACCACAAGTCCAAGACCCTATTTTTCTGGCTCAGAATCAATGAGAACTCCCTAAGTCAGGGTTTCTACTCCTGCAGACAGAAGGTGTGCAATGAATTTCTTAAAGAGGTAGTATGGTTAAGTAATACTCACAGATCATTGAGGTTTTCAAGTCTCACTCCTACTGTTCTATCCACTTTCTGTATTATCTTGGGCAAAACATTAAGCTTATTCTTGGGTCAATTTCTACATCTCTTAAATGGGAATAATATCCTGGTCTAAAGCACAAAGGTTACTAGTTAGTGGAATAAAGAATTATCCATTTCAACTCTACCCCACTGCAGAGTTTCTATTTGTTCATTCTTACAATTTCTAAAGTTGATTGATTTAGACAAAGTTTGCAGTAAGATATGCACAAAATATGACTTGCAGTTTACCTTGCCACTCATACAAGATAGTGAATAAGTTTTCTAATATGATTATCTTCTGTAATAAATGAATAGTGATGAAATTTGACACACTGTTAGGGAATAAAGATGCACTTAAAATTAATTTGTAACTCAGTTTGTCATGGGCAGACAAAATAAAATTTCCAGGTATTTTCAAGTATATTTCAATGGTGATATTGAGAGAAATCTACAATCAAAAACTACTAGAAATATATCTATGTTATATGTATTAATTTTTAAAGTTTTAGAAGTATTTTGTATATAGATGTTCATTTTAGGAAGTAAGTATTTTTCCTAAAAATTTTAGTCTGGTAAACACCTTCGCCAAAAGTCAAAAATGTAATTGACATGAATCATTTGGTCTACACAGTCACCTCCACCTATAAACAACTAAATGAACGTGTTAAATTATAACATGCAGAAAAGCACAGTCATACTCTAAATGAAAGAATTTTATAGGTTAAGCTTCTCTTTCAATTCTGAATGAACTTCAGAGCACACAGTCTCCTAACACAGGCCAAATCCCATGTTTAGCCATATAAACAGGCTGCTGCCTGTACAACGGGTGCATGTGAGTTTTTTGTGGCACGCCTATTGCGTTAGCCTTTAAAAATGTCACCATAGGGTTTTTTTTTTCTTTTACAAGTTCTAGTTGAAGCTCCCTATAAAGTGTGAACCTTACTACATCAGCCCAGAACTGCTCCAATTACATCCAACTAAAACAATCTTACTTGAAACTGCTTGATGCTGAACATCCTCAGAGCCCAAGTCATTTCCTAATCCCCAAACTGCCATGAACTATAAGAGATGGCAAACTCTTTATACAACTTAAAGCAGTTTAAAAATGTTTCATTTGCTTCTTGGTTTCCAAATGATGCCAGGCAGTGAGAAAATTTCCATAAATCCACTGAGTATACTGAATTATTAAAGTAAAAAGTGTTGGAATTTTTTTTCAATTTTGTAGAATTTTTAATAATTAAGCACCAAACTTACTATTAGTTTCATGAAGGGATCAAATTCCCAGCAACATGGCATTATAATCAATACTCTTGGCAATTCTTACTAACTATAGTATAGTATACTTACTAACTATAGTACGAATTCTTGAAGATTTGAAGTCTTGAAGACTGTACTTAAGAGGCCAGTATCATGTCAGTTTATCCTAAGAGAGAAAACATCAGAACTGTGACGGGACACTGGCAGCTTGGGTTCTATACTCTGTGGTGCCAATGACCCGATTTGTAACGCAGACCAAGAGGTGTTGTTACCTCAAGAGCTCAATCTATAAAAGGAAATATTTTCAATTAATTTATATCTATAAAATGTTGAGAGCTCAGGTGAAAAATATACCAAAAATACACCTAACAGCACATTTCTACAGAATGCCTACATGTAGCTGCAAATTCGGGAGAATCTGGATTTCTGAACAATGGTTTCAAAACACAGGGATGACAAACTACCATGTGGGAAAGGAGGTCAATCGTCAAGGACTGTTCAAGCCATGTGGAGAAGGATGAGGGAGCTCAGACCACATCTGGAACAATGGATTCCATTCTGGGCACTGCAGTTTAAAAAGGACATCGACAAGCTCAAAAAGCTTCCAGAGGAATGCAGCTGGATGGATGAAGAGACTGTGCCATATGAGTATCAGACGAAGGAACAATTAATATTCATGTTGGAGGAGAGAATGGGGGGGGGGGATGACATGATAGCTGTCTGCAAATATGTGAAAGGCTGTCATGCAGAAGAGAATGAGAACTATTCTGCTTGATCCCTGAGTGAAGAACTAGAAACAAGAAGCAAAAATGAAGCAAAGCAGAGCTTAGTCCTGATGTAAGGGAAAGCATCCTAACAGCTGGGGAGGAATGGGCTTCTCCTTCAAGGGATATCTTGGTGCAAAGATAGATGACCACTTGCTGAGCATGCTTTAGAGAGGATTCTTGGTCAGGAACAAATTGGCTAGATGGCCTCTGAGGTCTCTTCTAACTAGAAGTGCTACAATCTTGTTAATCTTCACACCAGGAATGTGTGTTCTTAAAAGTTGAGTATAAGTTTATTTTTGAATATATTATAATGTTCTTAACTTTCATGTAATGTATATGACATATAGATGAATAGAAAACATGACATAAAAATGAATTAAAATATGAATCAACCTTGCAGCAAGGGATTCTCTCATATATCCAAGGCAGTTCCATAATATAAAACGCCATCCTTTTGCTTCCTATAAACATCCACGGACTCATACCCTTAAGTTGGGGAAAGGAGAAGACCAGCACCAGCTCCAAATTATGTCGTTATCACCCATACACATGAATACTATTCTGCTTTATTAAAATAAGACAAAAAACTGCTCAATCACAAGCCAATAAATAATAGTAGTTTGCATGTTCCACCATAATTCATTGAATCCACAAAGCAAGTTACTGGTGGTAATTGTTAAATATCACAAATATATATGCACATATATTTATGATTATACATATGGATAATTTTAATTCGCTTATATGCGAATTAAACATGTGGTTTTGTTAGGTTAAATACCATGGTTTAATCTGGTAATTATACTCTATGTACAACTGGGCTTTATCAAGTTTACATACTTTTGATTAAACAAAAAGAATATCAAGTATAGTCACTCAGATAACAAGACCACAAATGAAGGAATCATGATCTCTAA